AATCAATTATGAAAGGAGGTGTTTCCTGCTCTAACAAGCTAATTACTGTACATCAAGTCACAAAGGGAAAACTGATGCTTTTTATTTTTTTGATGGAGGTGCTGTCAGATTAAATCAACTTGGAAGGACGACTGGGTTTAATGTATTCCCTCAGCTGATGCTCTCTTTAACACATTTACATATGCAAACATGTTAATATTCTGTCAGGATCCATGACATAGGACTGACAGGGCAGAACCTAACAAAACAGTTACATGACCCCACTCCTGCAGCTTATTTATGTCATTTACATACGCTGGTAACTCCAGCTCAAACTGAGAGTGATTGGCTTGGGAGTCACCACTGTGAAAGCAGGAGCATCTCAACAGGGAAATGACACATCCCTGCTGCTGGAAAGATCCATTTTAGGAGACAAACTGAACGTATAAATTGCTAATGAACTATGCCTTCCTGTCCAGCACAGCCAGCAAAACTGCAGATGGTTGATTCCCCCTGGGATAAGAAATAGGTGAAGCTGGGGTATTTGTTAGATGGCTTCCAGGTTATCTGCCAGGAGCAAAGAGCCATGTCATGCTCCCTTTTCCACGGCACGAATAAGAGCAAGGGGTATTTGCTGCCCACCTCTCCCAGCCCCTTGGCCAGCCCACACCCGTAGGGGCTCACTGGCTTTCCTCGAGGCTCCTGCCCCAGTGCTTGTCCAGGAGAGTGCAATGCTTGTCTGCATCCCTGACTCCATTTCTCCATCCTTCTCTACCTTCTCTTGCAGATTCACAAGCCTCCGAAAGCTTGCAGTCAGCAAAAGCTCCCTATGCACACAGGCCTTCATGTTGGGCAGTGATGCTCACCTGTGTTAGGGGTCGAGGCACTAATGTTTCCACTCACTGCTCTCCAAAAGATTAATTGTTTTCATGCAGCCATCTGCACTAGAGGCCAGGGGTTACACCCTGCCCACAACAATACTGTGTATGAGCAAATACCCAGAGAGCAGTGTACAGGCTTGCAGGTCTCAGCATCCAGCTTCTTCCCCAGCATCAGGGCCGGGTGGCAGGGAGGGTCTGCATTGCCTCATTCGCCCAAGATCCCTTGCCCCCAGGTGCCAGCCAGCTCCCTGCCTCTGCCAGCAAGCACTGGCCTCAGCGCAGTGCTGGGGCTGCAGGGGCAGCTGGATCAACAAAAGGTCAAGTCACCCCACGTGCCTACAGGACAGAGAACCACACTCAGCTTTGAGTCTCACTATCTCATCAGAGTGGGCTCGGCAAGCAAGCAGCTTCAGTGCTTTGGCTGCCCCAAAGCTGACAGCCAACCCCCCGCGGACAAACAGCTTCCCAGGGAACTGCACAGGCTGTGCTCTGTGCCTGCTGCAGCTCTGCTGGCCGGCATTTGCAGGCTCCAGCGGGATGGCTGCACCCAGCTGCGTCAATCTGCTTCCACCTCTGAGCTGACTAGAGCTGAAAGACAGATGACCTGTTATATATTTTCTTACCTTTAACTATTCCCACATGATCGGAGCGTTTCTGGGATATAGATAATAGGTCCACTCTTGAAGTCTTTATCAGGGCCACATTGTCACTGGTCACTGCAACACCAGGTGTACAGGGGAAGATTAGAAGGAGCAATCAGATTTCCGTTTGTGCAAAGAAAAGGCGGGAGAAATTTCTATACTTAGGGGTGGTAACAAGCTTCTCTCCATTGTATTCAATGGACAAAGGCTCGTTTTAAAAGAGCTGGAGCATCTCCCACTGCACACTACCCACCTGCAGAGCCAGCCAGGAGAGAAGGTTGCATTTTCTAGAAGGTGTTTCAGCTTGGACACTCTCACATTTCTTCTTCAAGAGAGGAATGTAATCAAACTCTTTACTCAAGCAAAACTACCAGCATAGCTCCACCTAAATGCAAAAGGAGTAAGGTCAAAACCTAGTCCAAGATGAGCCAAACATCTGTTTATTTGCCTGTTGTCTTCTCTCCTACTGAGTAAGCATGGGCAGTGCTACGGAAACCACGTCATTCATAAAATGGATTGATATCCTTGAAGCTGTTCAGCTCCTTCTTGAGGAAAATGCACAACCTGTGTCTTACACTCAGATGGATTCACTCACTTGTGGAATTTATCCCTTGATACCATTGTCTGACATAGGCTTTCCTTCACATACACATCTGCAGACAGCAATTTCCTATTACAGATGCTGCCCATCACCTCCATGTTCCTTTTTTCCACCCACAAGGAATTCAGATGTAGGCACTTCAGAGCAAACTGGGACAGCCACGGGAAGTCTGGCCCAAACTTGCTCGTGATTTAGCACAGACCCAGAAGGGCTTCATGGAGAGGACAGAGTCCAGTCAGCAATCCTGGCCAGCATGCTGTGACCCAGGCCAAACACTGAAAAACAGAGCCCTTTTCTCCAAACTCCATTTTCCTGGTGCTCCCAGGCAGCGCTTGCACAAACAGGAATGGTAACAATGTTAATGAGGAGGGGCATTCCCCATGGGAAAGTGGAGTGGCTGAAACCTAAAAAAATTCACCCCACAGCAGCATGAATGCTTCCAGTCGGATGGGAGCTGATGGTGTCAGAGCACAAAACAAGGGCAAGGCAGAAAATGGAGAATGGAGTGTGAGCTGCAGGGTGTTTCAAACCCTGCCTTGCCAGGCAAGGTCCCCTTGCTCCTCCATGGCTGGAGTAGATGACTTGGGTCTCTAGGAGCTCTCTAAGGAGCCTGCCTTGGCCACACTAGCTAAGATGCACTCTCCAGTGAAGTCTGTCTCCTCAATAAAGGAGAAAATGGAGAAGATGGAGACATCTGCTGGGAAGCTGTCAGGTTTATTAGATACATGCGAGTTTGAGGACAGAGCACCTAGAGGATCTCAAGGAATCTGAGCTCAAAGAAATAAAGGCAACTTCAAAAGGCACAACCAGACCAGAGGAATCACTTAACAACAATAATTTTTTGCTGGAAATACAATTGAAAACACCTGAGAATCAAATTGGGATTCGGCCTATCCCCCTGCCTGGAATTGCAGCTGCTATTGATTCTGGGCACTAGATCTTAGGAAAGCTCTTCTGTAAACTCCTGACACTGGCCATTACAAGCGATCCCAGATGTGGAAGGATTTATGGGATCCCCACACCTTAAAATATGTGCAGATTAAAGACTGTGCTAGTTCTAAAGCTAGAGGGCTTTAGGGTGCTCGCTCCCCCTCCTCTCTCCTCAGTGCTGGGTGTCACAGAGGTGCCACTGGCTGCCAGGGACAGAGCAGGCTCAGCCTGGGGACCATGGAGCCGTGGCAGCTCGTGGAGTGCCCTGGGGTGTCCACAAACAGGGACTTGGAAAAACACATCTACAAATACTCTATTGCAATCCATGAGAAATGGGTTACTGTCTCTATCAGGAAATCTGGTGCAAATCACAACTCACCTGCAGTTAATAGTCCTTACCCAGGAGAGCCCTTTGTCATGACTCGAACTACCTCACCAGGGCACAGAGGAGGGGCAGGCACAGCTCTGTCACCAGCTGGAGGAGTCCAGGTGTGGGATGGTGCTGTAACCTGCTGGAGCTCCTACATGCCCCACACCAGCATTGCAACTTTTCCTTTCAATTTCATCCCACAGCTCCCATCCAGGGACCACAAGGCAGAAATGGGGAGACTGAGGGATGGATACACTGCTTGTAGACTTTGCAAAGAAAAAAGCAACCTGGTCCACCTTCTAACCATCCCAGTGACCCTAATACCAGGGAAAAAATTTGTGTTGACTCAAGTCAGGATAAGATCAGCCCCTTTCTGCTGCCAAAATAGATGAGGCTGTTCACAGCGGTAAATACTAGGTGAGCTTCATCCAGAGAAGGCAGTTTTTCTTGTGGCAAAAGACAGGAGTGTATCTCCTCACTGTGTGTACCTGTGAGCATCACTAGAGGCAGGTTGATACTATGTAATTTCCTTAGTATTTGTCTTTAACAAAACAGCAGTCTTTAAAGAATTTAAAATGTACCTGATCAGAAAGCTGAGTGTGTGGCATTTAGTGGGATTTGATTTTGGGCAGTGAACACAGCAAAGCAAGCTGCCAGCTTGTGTGCACACACATCTCTGAATTGTCTGAGAGATCTCAAAACTGATGATCGATATGTTGTCTGTTGTGGTAAACAGACATTTTTAAAAGATTCTTCCTTCATAGTCCGCAGAAGAATTTGATTTCCATGCCTATTAAATAATGATAGATTTTATGACAGCAAATGTAAGATCTGCCATGTGACTGGGATCAACTTTTGCTGATAATCCAATATCTGACCCTATAGCAAAGAAACTAGTGTTTCACATCTCCAGTGCAGCACCTAGCCTGCTTTTACAGCCTGATGGGCTGGACCCTCCCTTCTACCAGGACCCTACCAGCCTGCTGCCAGCTTGTCTCAGGCAAAGGAGAGCAAGACAGCACAAAAAACCACCAACATTCTCTGTGTTTCTAAATAATTGGGGGATGAGGGTGTGAGGGAAGTCACACAAATTTACAGGCAAGGTATTGTTTCCTGGTTTTGTGTGTATTTTAATGTAGGGGTTGATGTCACTGTGCGTGCTCAGGTAATGAAACCCCATATTTCCGTATTTTCTTGACACACCTGGCACAGTTTGAGCCTTTATTTTATCATGCCATGCTCTGTGCTTAGTCAGGGGTTGCCACGAGGGACTGTGAGCTCTGGCTGTACAGTGGCACATGGTGTCCACTGCAGCAATGTACCAAAGAACCAGGGCACTCTTCCTTAGAGCAGAACTTCACTTTTAGCCAGCAGGTGAGAGACAGAGTCAGCATAAGTAACAGATATCATAAGCTTCTCATTAGCAAATTGACAGAGCTCAGAAACAGAAAGGCAACTTCCCAAGACCTGCTGCTTCATGTGAGTGGCACAGCTGCCACACAAATGCTTTAAAAATACCAGACCAAGCCCCAGCTGAGCTGTTTGAAGCCCCACAGACCCCTGCACCACTCTGAGTGACATTTTCTTTTGCCTTTAAGGTGAATAACTTGCAAAACTGCTACAGCCAAGAGTTTCAAACAGCTGCTCAAGCCCTTCAGAAAAACAAAGCTCTGAAATCATTAACAAACACTTGTGATGTGCTCCCATCTTGAAACAGAAAATTGCTCCCCTTCAGCAGCTAACGGTAAGTATATCAAACATGAAAATCTATCAAATATATCAAATGCTGATATCACGAGGGGTATATAATCTGTCCTCAAAATGAAGGCCATGGGGTCTCTTGATAGGTGTCATCCTACTGAAGTTATAGATGTTGTGGGTTTGCATGACACAGAGGAGCGTGTTTCTATCGAAAGAGCATGGTAACTCATTCTTCTTTGCCTTGATCCTGAGTCAGGAGTCTCTCCACCTCTGGATACATGTGAAATCTGCTCCAGGCAGAGCAGCCCCAGTGTTGGGTGATGTGGTCAGAGACCTGTCTGATTTGAAGCACAGTGTCAGAATCCTCCTAGTCAGAACAGTGCCTCAGTTCAATCTCTGCCTCAGGTTAGCTTCTTAACACACCCAAAACAAGGAGGCAGGCCAGCAGGGAGACTCTGTGAAGTGAGTCAAATATGACAAGATCCCCTTTTGGACCCACATGGCTCCCCTGAGGGAGGAAGGGGCAGGGAATGAGATGCCCAGATTGCCCTAGCCACTTCTGGGACAAACATTTACTTTAGATTAAGTGGCATGTAAAGGAGAGAGGAGCCCTCTCTGGCTGGCTGCTAGGGTTGATAGTTAAATATTTATAATGTCCAAATTAGCATAGTGGAAGCTCAATTCATCAATTTGTTCTGGTCTGTTTGTAAGAAGGAGAGGGGGTGTCAGGCACCCTGCAGGAAGTGCAGCCGTGGGTGGGCAGGTCGTGTGTGCTTCCTCCAGCACGGGGCCACAGCGTGGCTCCCTGCTGGCACTGACTTGTTGCCCTGGCTCACCCCTTCGGCGGGGTCAGGGAAGAGGCCGGCTGTGGGCAGGGCTGCGGGGATCCCTCCTCTCGCCCAAACCCACCTGGCCGGGGGGCAGCCTCAGGCTGGCGCTGCCTGGCCAGGCTGCTCCCGCAGCCTCCCCTGTAGCCTGGGGCTGCCCACGTGGGGGCCGGAGAGGAGTGTGGGCTGCCCTGGAAGGGTTAAGGCTTTTCAGGCCAAAATCCCCCAACAGAAGGCAGGGTCAGCCTCGGAGCTGAAATCTAAGTGCTAATGACTGATGCCCTTCACCCCTGCACTGCCTCCAAAGGCGAGTGCCCTGGATAAGCCGGGGCCGGAGAGCATTTAACATTTGAACTTCTTCTCGTCGGCGAGGCAGCAGGCCGTTGTGCGCGGGGTCGCTGACCCCCAGCCCCACTCCCCCCAGCCCCTCAGCTGCCTCCCAGCCCTAATTGAATGACAGATGGTCAGCGGCAGGGAGAGGGCAGGAGCAGGGCCCCATGCCCCCGGCGCTCCTGCCCATGCACCCCCCTCACCGGCCGCCCTGGAGGCTGCCGGGCACCTCGGCCCCGCAGCTACACACCTGGGGGACACGGGGCAGTGGGCAGAGCTGGGCTTGGGGTGCTGTCCCGAGGGCACCCCAGGACCAGGGGTGGCTCACACCAGGCTGATTCCAACCAAGACTTCACCAGTCCTTCTCATTTCTCTGCCACACAACAAAACATCACTGGATTCATGGGGATCTGACAGGTACAGAGCACCCCCGGGGGCTGCTCTCTCTCCCCTCCTTGCATTCAACCAGGGGTGCTGGACATGTCCTGCCCTGGGTGGAGGATGCCACAGGTGACAGAAGGGGCCTTACTGTAACTGTAAAGGGGGCTGTGGAAATGGTGGTCAGTGGGGCCAGAGCCTGCCCCTGCCCCTTGCCAGCTGCCTTCCAGGCAGAGCTAGGGAGGCCAGGGTGGGCCCTTGGGGGACAGGGCCTTTGCAAGCGCAGCCCCCACACCCCCCACTGCAGTCCACTGTCCCTTTAACAGAGAGCCGTGATTCCCACAATTACTGGGATTACAAGGAAAGGGTTATCGATTTGCAGCCTGCACTGTGTGATCAGCGCCTGGGCGGCCCCCCCGGCCCACCTCTCCTACTGTAAGCACGAAACCATTTATAAATGTTTTATTTCACTGATCGCCTCACCCTTGCTGCATAATAATAACCCCAGCAGCATGGCGATATATTCTCTCCACTCCCCCTCTCCCTGTGCCCGCAGCCTGCAAAAGGCACCAACGTGATATGCAGCAGCCCCTGATTTGTGTGTATGTTTTAATTACCGCCGGAGAAACCTGTACACAAGCATAAAAAAGGGTGAGGGAAAGGGAGAGCAGGCCCAGACGGCAGAGGCAATGGCAGCCTAATGCACCGCTGGCTGACAGCGACTTCCGCTCAGGCACCTTCTCCAGATCGAACCCTTCGATTGTAACTGAAACAATTTGCATACTGATTCCTCTCATAGCCTCCCGATCCATAACCAGCCAGGCAGCTATTCAAATGCAAGTAGCATCCCTAAATGCAAGGCTAGACTGACCAAAATGCGCTGTCCTACAAGCAGGAGGAGAAGAAAAAACCCTTGATTATTATTTCTATTTTTGTTCCTTTTAACCTTTAAAAGATTTAGCTGGAAGCTGTTGGTTTGTGACTGGGGATGTAAGGGAAAGAATTGATCCTGGACTGGACTTAAAGATGGAGTAAAATGGGGCACTGAAGAGATTTTTCGTTGTGTTTTTTTTTCCTTTTTCCTATTTTTATTTTTACCTGAGCCACAAACTGAGGCTCTTTGGGGGGAAAGAGGGTCTGTCCTCTCTCCCACCCCCTTCCTCCACCAAAACCATCTCATCTCCTGCAGACCCAGGGAATACACAAATTGCTGCCTGTGCCTCTGCCTCTGGTGCCTGTTGGGCTGATGAAGATCGTGTAATTCTGGCTGTAAATTCTTGCGTTTAAGTTGGTCCAATAAAAGATCTCTCCTACACCTTATGAGGGTTTGGTGCTTTATTTTTTTTTTTTAACGGGACTGGCGTGGCAGCCGCGGCGGTTGCCTTTTTGGTTTTGGTTTTTTTTTTTTTTTCTTCTTCTTCTTTTTCTTCCTCTCGTTCTCAGCTGAAATTATGCAGATAGATGATTTTTTTTTTTTTTACTATTATTATTTTGAGTTTTTTCCTCCTAGGGGGCAAATCTAGGAGGCAGCGGATGCCCGTCCCGGCGGCGTGCGGCGGACGGCGGGGGTAAGCGTGCCCAGCGGGGCACGGCGCGGGCGGAGGGGCCGGCGGGCGGGGCGGGGCGGGGCGCGGAGCGGCGGCGGTGGCGGGGAGGGAGCGGGGGCCGTGCGGCCTCCCCCGCGCCCGCGGAGCGGGGTGCGCGCAGGGCGGGGGAGGGAGAGACTTCGTCCGGCGCCTCCGCGCCCGCGGAGCAGCGGCCGCGGCCGCGCGTAGGGGCCGCGAGGAGCCGCCCTGGCCGCCCGCCCCGCCAGCCCCGCGCCCGCTCCGCCGCCGCGCAGCCCCGGCGCGGGGATGCGGCCGCTGCCCGCGGGAGCGGTCCCCGGAGCTCTGCCAGCCTCCATGTTTGGGGCTCTTTCTTGCTAAATTCACCGTGAATTCACCCCGAAATAGATCTCCCCGATAATTTTCTGCTAATCGGGGCCCCGCTTTTATTTCGGTTGGGATAAGTCAGCGGAGCGACGGCCATGGCGGGCTGGGGGATCGATTTCGAGCAGGTTCCTCTGCAGGTTCGGGCGCTGCACGGATTCCCGAGCGTGTGCCTGCCGGGTCGCTGTACGCGGGAATAAACGATGGAGATGCGTAGATATTTTATTATTTAGCGGCAGCTGAGGGAAAGCTTTTAGGATGCCGTGGAGCTGGCTGGCTCCTCGTCCCTCTAAAATTCCCGTTTGCCTCGGGCTACGACCTGTTATTTGACCTTTAGACACCCCCGAATATAGCAGAGTTTTTCTTCCGAAATAGAAATAAACCGACGTGGTGGGATGACTCCGCCGAGCGGAGCTGGGCCCGGCCCCGGGCCGGCCGGAGGGGTCCTCAGCCCTCTCGGGGGGTGCGCGAGTAGGGAGAGCTTTCGGGCGGGGGCCGGGGGTGAGCCTAAGGGTGACACGCGTTCATTTTGATTTCATTTGAGGACATTTGATGGTTGTAGATCTTTCTCTGGTTTGTTGCATCACCACAGCTCACTCCTTAAAACAGTAATTCAAGATGTAAGTAAAAGTGTTTTCATTTTTATTGATCCTGCTAACATCTTTCATTACCCAACACGTAACCACAACAAATGATTGCTCATTTGATACGCAGAATTTTATCGACGCTCTCTCCAATGCCGGGGCGCGGATCCTAAATCCCGGCGGCTTTAGGTGCGGTGCTGCGCGGCCGCGTAGCGGGCAGGGCGGGAGGGCAGGCACAGCCCGGGCCCCGCGGGCCCTGCCTGGCCGCGGCTCCTGCCCTCCGGCCCGGCCCCTGCCCGGCCCGTTGTCGGGGCCAGCAGCGCTGTCCCCGCACTGCTCCTGGCGAGCGGAGGGCAGTGAGCCCTGGGGGAAGGCAGCGCACCCCCAGTTTGCCCCGCGCCCGACGGGGCGCACCGGGCCGGGCCCGGGCCGATGTGCAGGGGGCTGCCCGCGGGTGGGGGGCTGCCCGCCGGCCCTGCCCGCCGCTTTCGTTCCCTCGCAGCGAAACCCAACAAGTAGCGGGAGGAGAAGCGGCCGCGCCGCCGGCCCCGCACTGCCTCGGCCGCCACCTACCCCGGCAGCGCTGGCGGCCAGGAGGTCCTTCTCTCTCTTCTTCTTTCTTCCTTTTTTTTTTTTTTAAATACACTAAATAAATATTTTTTTAAAGGGGCGTTTTGTTTTTTTCAAAAAATTCAAATAGAAATCATCAAACCATTGGGGCTAATAGAGAACACCGAACGGTTTAAAACCGTGGATCCTGTTTTATTTACACGATCTCTTTCGGCTAACGGCGTGAAATGTTTTTCAGGGATCAAACAAATGCTACTACTTTAACTCTCTTTGAGAATATTATTTTTGCCCTTAATACTAGAATGGAAGGCAGGTTTATGAGGGAAAGGCTCGAAGAATTGGTTTCGATGCAAGAGACCTACAGTGAAATTAAACTAGGTGGATTCTTTATTAAATGATTTCGGTCTTCTGTGGTTTTATGAAAATAAAAGGGAGCACTTTGTCATTTTTAACAATGTAAGTAGCCAATAAATCTAATTTTCACATTGATTTCTGTAGGAATTAAGTGATATCTACACTATCTGCTGTGAATTGTTTTTGGAAACAAGTGCGACTTTCTCCTGGCGGAAGCTGTTTTTTAAAATAATAATTACAATTTTTTTTAAAAAAAAGTACTTCTTATAGCAGCAGGTTTTTAAAGTATGAATAAAAATTATCTATGAGATTGATCATGTATATCCGAGACGGCATGTAGACAAAGAGTTTTATAAAATGCGCTAGGACAGGCACAGAGAGAGCATTGCATGCCTAAATGTCGAATACGAATAATTACAGCGAGGAACAGTTTACAGAGCCCTCGGTCTGGCATCCGCAGAAGGGGGAAAAAGCAAAAAAAAAAAAAAAAAAAAAAAAAAAAAAAGGTGAGCCAGTATATTCGCTCATACATGTAACTAATAAAGACCTCAGCCGAGGAACCCAGGGCACTGTGAGCAGCGCTGCCAGATTAAAACATGTCCCTGCCTTAATTGCTAACTCGGGGCCACGTGCTGCCTGCGCGGGCAGGTGCCCTTCCCGGGGCGCTGGCAGAGCATCACCTCTGGGCACTCGGCAGGGATTTAATAGCACCTTTCCCTAAATAATAACCCAGATGAATAGCGTTCACCAAAGCGCTTTTGATCCCTATTATGTCACCGTCCGTGGGTTTGGACAGCCCGAGCCGCTGTGACCTCAAGGATTACTTCTGTCTCGGGGTACCAAGGCGTGTCCGCGTGGGCGAGGGGCAGCGGAGAGGACAGGAGCCCCCGCACCCCTCCCGGGGCAGAGCCGATGCGGGGAGGGAGGGCCAGGGCAGCCGCGTCCTGGCGCGGGAAGGGCCTCGGTCCCCGACGGCAGCAGGTACTGCCCGCACACACACGCTCCACAGGCGGGAAGGCTCGGCCCGGCCCCGCGTGTCCGGGGCACGTCGCGGGCGGCGGCTGCCCGGGGAGGAGGAATGCGGCTCTTTCCTTTTCTCCTCCCTCCCGTTACTCCCAACTCTGCCTGGCCGAGGAGCGAGGCCATCCCTGTCGCGGAGAAGGTTTCCGCGGGCCCCTGGCCGGGCTGGGATGGCGCTGGTGCCCGCGAGAAGCACGTCCTTCGCACCCCGAGAGTGTTTTCCTGAGGGTTTCCCAGGACTTAAAGCAATCCTGGGGTTGCAGACCTATGCGGCCCTCTCCGCCTGGGTCACGCGTGGATTGTGCGTGGACCTCGCACTCCCCTGGGGCCGAAGGGCCGCCCTGGCGGGGGGAGCGCTCGGCTGGTCCCAGCCTGCCTCCGAGAAGGCGGCAGTGTAGAGTTCAAACGCATCAAACTATCAGAAGTCATTTATCCGGTTTCATAAATAATGTTCTTATTATCTCCAGCCCCCTTAATTCATGCTCCTGTCCGCTTGATTGCGGGGTTTCAGCAGATAAAAAGTTTATAAGTTGGTCGGGTTCTTGTTTTCCTTTTTCCATCATTAACATCATTAATATAAGCTATCAATAACCCTGTCGTTTGGAGCATAGCTTCACAGTATTGATCTGCGCAGCTATTCATCTCTGCCATAGAAGACACGGAATAATTTTCGCATTACAGTACCTTGGATTTGCTTTTAATTCATATTTAAAGCTGCAACTGGCTCTGTGGAGCTCTCTGCGAAAGACTAGAGGCGCCTAATTAATAATAAGTTAGAAACGAAGGAAGGCACCAGCGGATAAATAATTAATACAGACATCTCTGTCTCTTTGAATATTGCTACTTTAAAAATTTAGACTTACCAGGACCATACTGTAAGTCTGCAAGTTATATTGAGGAGATGATTTAAGAAAGCTATTTTTTTTTCCTGAAATACAATGCTAAATTATTTACGGTGTTTTGCAATCTTCCATAAGTTCCTTCATTAACAAGCGCTGCGGTTTGCTCCGGGGGGTGCGAGAGAACGCGGCTGCAGAGGGACCGCGGCGACTCGGCCGGGCAGCGCCCTGCAGCCCGCGGGGCTCGCTCGCTGCCCGCTTCCAGCCCCGCGTCCCCAGCCGGCCAGACCCCCGCCCTGGGGAGCTCCAGAGGGAAAAAGCGGGGAGCCCAGAGCCCTTGGGCAGGTGGTGGGGGCCACCACCGAGCAAGTCCAGCGACCGCGCTGCCGACCCCCAGGCTCCACGCAGTTCCCCTCGGGCAGAAGTCCGGGTCCGGGGGCGAGGGCTGCGGGAGGGGGAAAACCGGGACCCCCCCCGGGCGGGCACCCGCAGCGAGCCCCCGCCGCGCCGCAGCTTCCCCTGAAAGCCGGGCCCTCCCCCGCCTGCCCCGGCCGGCGCAGCCCTCTGTTCTCTGCCTGCCCCCGACAGATGTATATGTTTTTGTCGCCAAGCAAGTTTCCAAGAAGCTCGACAGGGGAAAGTCTGGAAAAGTTAATCCCCCCCGGCAGCTGTTGGCTTTGGGAGCCTTCGAGCGTCACCTTTGACACGCTCCCCGTGCGAGGGGACCCGGTGCCGCAAGCTGTCACCGCGCAGGAGGCGCGGGAGGGCGCGGGCGGCAGCAGCCCCCTCACACGCCATTAAAAAAAAAAAAATTACATAGAAAAATATAATAAAAATAAATAATTAAAAAGAAAACCAACTTCGTCCGGTCGGGTGCAGCGCACTGTGGTCGCTGCCCCGGGCCGGGCCGCCCCGTCGGGCGGGCCCCAGTGCCCGCGCTGTGTTTGCTGGCGTCAGGCGGGAGATTACGGCCGTTTCATGGTGTCATTAGCTCGGATTTAAAAAGCACACACACGCCACGCAATTCAAACAAGCAAAGTTGCGTTTTAAGTCCGCTCCGAGTATCTGCTGATCAAATAAAGACTTAAGGGCGGTAACGATTATTCTGTTAAATATATGGTACTTGACTGCACAAGCAGTAATTGATTAGCGCACCGAAATGAGCTCTCCCCGGCGCTCCCCCTCCGCCAGTGGGGCGGGAGGCTCCGCGGGGGAACCGTGCCGGGGTCCGCGCTGAGGGGAGCCCACGGACGGGCACCCCCGACGGCGCGGAGCTGAGGCTGCGGAGCGGTGTGCCGGCCTCTCCTTCCCGGCCCCGGGCCCCTGCGAGCCCATCGCGAGGTCCCAGGGCTCTCTGCAGCCGAGACGGGACCGGGCGCCGTCGGGCCCGGGCTCCTGCGCTGTCCTCCGCGCTTGCGGCTTTTGCGCACCAGGGCCGCTCCTTCGTGGAGTCCTCCTAGAGTAACCGGAAAAAATGTTTTAAAAATAAAAGATGCACTTAGGGCTGGGGAGAGATGGGTGCGTTTCTACGGCCACCCTTTTCTAAGGTTAGAGATTGAACTCCGACGGCGGGACGGCGCGTCACAGAACTCTCCAAATTGCTTGGGGTCGGGTTTGTATTCCTTTCTTGAAGAAAAATTTTATGCTGCAATTTCCTAAAAACTCGAGGGAGTAACATATTCGCTATGATGTTTGCTTTGATAACTAATCGCTAAAGGCGCGGAGATGAAATATTTTTAATTAAACTGTAAATTGTGTACAGATATTGATAATGAAGAAGCTGACAACGTTTCGATTAGATCCGTGACATCAACTTGCGTTGGCTTGGGAAACAATCATAGCCGTTCATTTCGGTCTCGAAATGCTCTCGATAATTTTATTTTATTTTATCCTAAACATTTTCCGAGATCATTGACTATGTTTCAGGTCTGTTTTTTCTTCTTTCGCAGATACACCTTTCCTTATCTATCCCTCGCTATCAGAAATGGAGACACTGTTAACGTTAACGTTACAAAAATTCAGAGAACTGTGAAACCGTTTAGGATGGGGGTGTCTGGAGCGGTAGGAACTGTGCGGGTTCTGTATGTGGGGAGTTTTTTTAGCGAAAAATAAAATACAGAGAAGCTCCCTGAACAGCTCTGAGCGATGGATTTATTTCGGAAACGGGCTTCAGTGACTCTGAATTCTTACAAGCGTGTGTGTGTGTTAGTTGGGGGAAATATATAAACCCACTGTGGAAATTCTGAATTTATACAAGGAAAAAGTATACTCTCTTCTAGGGCCGTCCACGCAACACAGTTGCACAAAACAGAAGACAGTTGTGATTTTAGAAGTTTCCTGCGAGCCTGCCCGGTGTCTGGTGTTTTGTTTTAGCTCACCGACCGCAGGCACACGCAGACTGTGCACACGCAGCCACGCACATGGCCAGCCCCCACGCCGAGCTCCTCGGGCACGGTCCCCCGTGAGCAGCCCACGAGGATACGTACCCGGTGCATGGGCGAGAGGCAGCGGCGAGGAGGCAAAGGATGCCCCTCTGGGTCTCGCCGTGCTGGGCTGCGAGGTGGGCTGAGAGGAGGACGGGCCGGACGTTTCGGGGTGCGCCACGGTCCCCATGCCCGCACCCCGCGGCAGGGACACACCTCGTCTCGCGGGCGTTGTGGAGGGGCAGCAGGGCAGAAGCGGGGCCAGGCCTGGCTCGGACGACGGGGCTCCGTGCCGAGGCCCCTCCGCGGCCCTCGTTTCGGCCGCTGCTGCGGTGCTTTGGGCTCACAGTGCGGGGCGAGGGGTCTCGCTGCCTCGAGGAACCGTTGAACGGCGAGGCCCTGTGGTCTTCCGAGCAGTGCCCTCCTCCTCTTACTGAGGGGAATCTCCACAGGCCTTGCTCATAAAGTTAGGGCAATAGCTCCGGGAAAAATAACCCTGGGGTTTGATTTCAGCTCTATCCCACGGGGACTCTGCCCTAGGACAACTCCCATCCCTCTTCCTGCCGCCTGCGTTCCCCGTGGGGCGGGTGGCCCGCTGGAAGCGAACTCCTGGCCCTCACCAGGGAAGGGGCCTTGGAGCTTTCGGCGGAGCGCAGGGACGGTGACAGCCCCCAGCCCCCGTCATAGACCTGGTCCCGCGGGGCGAAGCAGTTTGCCCTCGCTCCGGGGCTTTGCCAGGACAGGTGCTCAAGCCCTATCCCCCTCTCCGTGGAAAAGACACCCAGGTCCCGGCCTGAGTCCCAGCGCTGCGGGGACCCGCTTGCTGTCCTAGAGCCTCGGCGGGGCGATGTGGGGGGCACGCGGCTCCGCGGGGCGCCGGGAACAACCGCGGGCCCCGACGGCGGAGCGGGGGGAAGCGGCAGCGGCCTTTGTGTGCCGCCGGCCCGGGGCCGCCCGGCTGCGGCCCCGCGGCTCTCCCGCGGCTCGGCTCGGCTCGGCCCGTCCCTCCCGCCGCTCAGCGCCGCGCACACGCCGCACTCTGCCCGGCGTGGTTCGTTATTGTTAATGGGCGAACAATAGGCACATCTGCCCTTTCTTCCAGCATAAAGGCACCTTAGCTAACGAGGGGGGCCGGCGGGTGGGCTCGCTTGTTCTTTCTCCTCCGCCTCCTTTTCTTTCTTTTTGGGGGAAAAAATAAAAGAAAACCAGCGGCATGTCTGGCTGCTCGGCGCCTCGGGGCATATGTTCGCCTTGCACCGCCGGGCACGCTCGGCATCCCCGGCGGGGGCTGCAAGGGGGCGTCCCCCCCATCGCATCGCCTGGCCGGACCCCACGGGATCCCTGGGGACGGAGGGGTGCGGGAGCTGAGCCGCACGGGTGACCCCGATCGGACCCGGAGCGCAGCGCCACGGGGCTCCCGCCGCCCGTCCCCAGGCCGGGCAGAGGGAAGTTTCCCGGCGGGGCACCTGAGAGGAACGACACCCGGGACAGCGCGGGGGGACACGGCGGGCACGGCCCCCGCGGGCGCCCCGGGGCAGGGCGGCCGGAAGCTCACGGGTGAGGTTAGGAGGCTCCGCGCTCACGGAAAAACGCGGAGTCACCGAAGGGGCGGGGCGGGTGTCCCTGCTCCCCGCGAGCCCGGCGGGAGGCGGGGCGGCCCCTTTGTGCCCGGGGCGGGGGCTGTGGGGGCTGTGGGGGCTGTGAGGGCTGCGGGGCCCGTCCGGCCCTCGCGGGGCAGCGACACCCCCAGCTCTGGGCGCCGCCGCGCGCGGCCCGCGCGCTTAAAAGGAGCGCTGACGTCACGGGGGCGGTGCCGGGCGGCGCGCAGGCGCGGTGCGGGCGGCGGCGGCGCTGCAGCAGCAGGAGCGGAGCGGGAGCGCGGCGCGCACAGAGAGCCATGGCTGGGGATGGCGAGGGACGCGGACACACACCCGCCGCGGCCGCGGCTGCGGGGCCCGGCCTGAGGGAGCGGCGGCCCTAGGACCGGCCCGGCGGCGCCAGCCAGCAGCGGGGGAGGGGGGGGAAAAAACAACCAAAAAACAAAAAAACCAAATAAATACATTGCCACGAAATAACAATAATAAAAAAAAAAATTAAAAAAAGGGAAAGGGAAAGCCAGCCAGCCAGCCCGGCAACAGCAGCAGCAGCAGCAGCACCGCCACCAGCCCGCAGCGCCTGCCCGCCTGCCCGCGGGAGCAACCGGCCGCCGCCAAGAGCTCCGGGACGCCCCGCCGCCCACCAGATAGATGTGCGGTCCCGCCGCCCGCACGGCCGACGATGAACGCGCAGCTGGCGATGGAGAACATCGGCGATCTGCACGGGGTGAGCCATGAGCCGGTGCCCGCCGCCGCCGACCTGATGAGCGGCAGCCCGCACCACCGGAGCGCGGTGGCCCACCGCGGCAGCCACCTGCCGGCCCACCCGCGCTCCATGGGCATGGCGTCCATCCTCGACGGCGGCGACTACCACCACCACCACCGGCCGCCCGAGCACGCGCTGACGGGCCCCCTGCACCCCACCATGACCATGGCCTGCGAGACACCCCCCGGCATGAGCATGAGCAGCACCTACACCACGTTAACCCCTCTGCAGCCTCTACCTCCCATCTCGACGGTCTCGGACAAGTTTCCTCACCACCACCACCACCATCACCACCACCACCATCCCCACCAGCGGATACCGGGCAACGTGAGCGGCAGCTTCACGCTCATGCGGGACGAGAGGGGTCTGGCGTCTATGAACAATCTCTACACCCCCTACCACAAGGATGTTACCGGCATGGGGCAGAGCCTCTCTCCGTTGTCTGGATCGGGCCTGGGGAGCATCCACAACTCCCAGCAAGGGCTGCCCCACTACGCTCACCCCAGTGCCACCATGCCCGCCGAGAAAATGCTCACCCCAAATGGATTTGAAGCCCACCACCCTGCCATGTTAGCCAGGCATGGCGACCAACACCTCACCCCCACCTCCGCTGGCATGGTGCCTATCAACGGGATCCCACACCATCCCCATGCCCACTTGAATGCCCAGAGCCACGGGCAGATCCTGGGCTCTGCCAGGGAGCAAAACCCTTCTGTAACTGGTTCGCAGGTCAACAGTGGAAGTAATTCAGGGCAAATGGAAGAAATCAATACCAAAGAAGTAGCTCAGAGGATCACCACCGAGCTCAAACGGTACAGCATCCCCCAGGCTATCTTTGCCCAGAGGGTGCTGTGCCGCTCTCAAGGGACGCTCTCAGACCTGCTGAGGAACCCCAAGCCCTGGAGCAAGCTCAAATCCGGCCGGGAGACCTTCCGCAGGATGTGGAAGTGGCTCCAGGAGCCGGAGTTTCAGCGGATGTCTGCTCTGCGGCTTGCAGGTGAGCCCACTGCGGGGTGGTCGGGGCACGGCGGCGGAGGGGCTCCGGGCCTGGGCAGGCCGCCCCAATCCCTGCCTGCCCCTGAAGAGCAGCCCCGACCTCCCCTTCCGCCGCTCGGTTTCTGTCCTCTCCCCGCTCCCTCTCCCGGCTCCGCGCACCGGCACTGTCCGGTTCCTGCACGCCGCGCTCCCGCCTGCCAGACAAAGCCGAGCTGGGGCTCGGGCTGCGCACTGCGGCGTCCCGGCTCTGCTCATTCCCCGGCCGGGGCGCACCCGCCAGGCTCGCCCGCCGCCGGTAACGGGGCGCCGCCGAAAGCCGCACCGGCGGGAGCGCTGCCGGAGCGCGGAGGGTGAGGCGGAAATGCTTGAATTGGCGGCTGAGCCCACGGACGGGGTGCGGGGCCCACGGGCGGGGTGCGGGGAAGTCCCGGTAATGCCCCGCCGAGAGGAGTCGTTCGGTGTGTCTGCTTTGTGTCGGGGGCGGCGGGCTCCGGTCGCAGCGGCTGGTGGGGCTCGGGGCCAGCGGCCCGTTCGGGTTAGGTGAGCTGGGACAGGGGTTTCGCACGAATGAGCCGAGCCCGGCGGGTGAGCGGTGGCTGAGAAACGCTGTTGGCTAAAATCGTTAGATTTTTTAATTTTTTTTTTTTTTTTTTTACTGGTTGTAATTATCATTAGGCCGCGGAGTTTGAGTTTCGCGTGGATGTCTCTGCGTGAGACGAGCCGTCCGTGTCGCGGCTTCGCTGCTCCAGAGCTTCACCCCGCTCTCGGCACTTGCTGTCCAGTGTAGTTCCGAGCGGGTCCCGTATTGTCTGCTCGGACATGGCCGTCCCGGTCCGTACCTGTGCCCCGCCGCCCCAAACCCGCCCGTCTGTGCTCCCGGTGCAGAGCCTGCGTTTAATATACCGTGAGTGAGGGTTTGTTAATTAAGTGATAGGTCTCCATTAATTTGTCCCTGGAGAACGCGAGACAGTCAATCCGAGTTGGAGCCGGGGTCACTGATCCGTTTCACAGACAAAAATGAGGGAAGGGCCAAATCTTTCTCCTTTCAAAAGCACAACCGGTCTTGTGCTTTCGACTACCACGACGGTGGAAATTTGGAACCGTTTCCCGAGCGTGCGAGGACGCGGCTGGGCCACCAGCGTGCTCCATGCCTATTTTCAGCTAACCTACCCGTTCCCGAAACCTAAAGCAGAGGTAGGAAAGGCCCGGGGCAGGACCATCCTCCCCAGTGCCCGCCAGTGGGAGGACGTTGCTCTCTTTGGCTTCCACTCCTGCGACTCAGTTTCAAAGGTCTGAGTTCTCAGAAAATGCCCTTTCCGCCTTCCCTTCCTCGGCAGCCACCCCACCAGGAGAAAACCGTCGTCTTGCTGGTGCTACCCTGGAGAGGAGGATGGAGTTTGTGTTTCCAATATCCCCGTAACGATTGCTAAGGCGAACTTTCTTCGATTTGGAGCGTATTTTTACGACAATACGGTCGACCTGAATCTCATTTGCATAGATCGATACTGGAAACAACCCCTCGCTTCGGAGCCTGCTGGCATCCCTTCCTTGGCG